ATTTTTATACATACAAAACAGCATTTTTAAATATATTTCTTTCAAAATATGCAGTTGTTTTATTCTCTCTCAAAACCAGTAATTCAATGAAGGCACAGAAGGGGATTTTTTTGGTTTACATTGTTTCATGTCTTATGTTGTTGAAAGCCCCCAACCAGGGCTGTGCAAACTGTGGCCTGAGAGCCACATGCGGCCCTCTGTCAATACGGCCCACTTCTGAAATTACCATGAACCCTGTCTGCGGCCCCCACACCCAAGGCTTAACATTCAATAGTGGGGTATGCTATAACGAACGGATCCTACTACGAATATTCCTATAACGAACGGTTTTACCTATAAAATTGAGAATGCTATAACGAACGAAACTCCTACAACGAACATTATTTAATTTTTTTTTACTAATTTATTGTTTTTTTATTACAAGAATTAATGATATTCTATATTTCAGGGGTTTAGATGCATATTTATGCACTTTTTTACAATTTTTACACTTTTATATTATATTTTTCAGTGTTAAGTGGTTGTATTTGGGGGCCTGGAACGGATTAATCCTATAACGAACAAGGTTCTAGAACAAATTAGATTCGTTATAGCATACCCCACTGTATATTGGCCTGCATGATCACCTCTACAACCTGTAAAGCAGGGGCGTACAAACTGTTTGCAGAGAGCCACGATAAAAACCATATGATGCATGATGGGCCATACACTCACTATATTGCTTTTAAAATTCAGACTTAATGATAAATTTAAAATCTAAAACAAAATTATTACAAGTGTTTGTTGACTGAATCGAGTTGTTAATGGGATGGGTCCTACTGATAGTTCCCGTGGCTGGCATAGAAGTGGTGCATGGCAGGCCAAAATCTTAGACAACTGGGGAAATCCTTAAGTTTACACACATGGAATTTCTCCATTCCTACCTGAAGAAACACATCCCTCCATGCGTGGTGGAAGATGTTCTCAACGGGCTGAGGCCCTCATACACCAGACCTGTACCAGTCATGCTGGAAGAAATTCCAGAGCTTTCTCAAGAAAATTCGTTGTCAGATGTGATGGAGGGAGTTGTCTTTCAATTCCTATCCTCCTTCACGAGAAAAGACAGGCGGTACTTCCCAACTCTTAACACTTAACTCTCTGGTCATGGTCTGACATCTCAACCCCTCATAGTCTTTTGAAGCAAATAGTGTTGTTTAGAATCTCACCCCTCGCAGTCTTTTGACACAGGTTGTGATGGTAACAGGAACTGTGTTTCACTTTTAGTAAACATTTGGAAGAGCAATCCAGACAAATTGCATCCTTAGAGACCTATTTACCAGTCTGTAAGGCTAGTGGGAGGAACTTAGGTGGTAGATAGGGACAGTCCACTGTACCAGCATTTCTGCTTATAGGAAGGGTGCTCTTAATGAGATATGGCTGAGCAGGAAGGGTTGGATCCTGCACTGGAGCAATCAGCGACGCAATCTGTGTCGAAAGACCACAAGAGGATTAACAGCACTGGCAGACCCCTTCCACTATGGATTCAGGATTACAGTGCACCAGCACTAGGTCCAACTTCTAAAGAGGAGCTTCTTTATTCAACATTTTCCACCACGCTCAGAATGCCCCTTCTGGTCCTTCCAGAAAGTTCTCTCCTTCCTTCAAAGGGCCAAGTTTTAGGGCAATTCCACAAAAGCAGACAGGCTTCACAAGACCCTGCTCCTCACTGCACTAAAGGGCTTATCAGCTGGCGACTTAAGCTCGCTACCCCAATTTGACCTGCTTTGCCATAAACCTGTTGCAGGTCCCCCATTCCTGAGGAAAAAAATGAGATAAGACCATAGACTTCATCTGGTAGTTCCCCTTGCATGGAAGAAAGAGTTTGGACACTGATTTCTGCCTTATAGCAGGCATACACGGCTACCTGGAGGCTACTAAAAGGGCATGACTACGAGTTGTGCACTCCTCCCCACATTGCTCTTATCATTAACCGAGTGATAGAGCAAGTAGATCCCAGCAAACTACCTAGGGCTCAAGAGGTCCAGGGGAAGGCAGAGACTGGGATAGGTGAATGAAATTAAAAACCGAATCCCAGAGATACAATATCTTGGAGGATTGGTAAAAACAGCCTGGAAACATTTAGAGTGGACAATTGTGGTTGCCTCTGATATGAGGACGGTACACTGATCGATTGATTGATTGATCGACTCGTCCATATAAGATGTTTGTGAAAGATTTTAAAAACATTTTCTCATTTATTAACAAAAAAGTATAAACATACACAATCATGTGCTAGAGTTCATCAAATACTCAAAATCTTTAGCAACAAGCAACCAGTGAATATAAAATGTGGCAATGATTCAAGGATTACGAATCTTTTAAACATAGGATAATTACTTACATAAAGAAGAGAGAGAAAATTAAACAAATTAAAGAGCTTCAATTATGCTAAATCATTCCCACAGTTTTATGAATACTGGCATATTAACACTATACATGGCCAAGCTTCTCACTTACAATATATATATATATATATATATATATATATATATATATATATATATATATATATATATATATATATATATATATATATATATATATATATATATATATATATATATATATATATATATAAGGGATACAAAACACATATTCCTTCTGATAATTCCCATTGAAACAATAGTGTTAAAACTATTCACAGTCCCATAGTTAACAAGTACATTACTGTCATGTGTTCAAAATAAAAAAAATGTAAATTCATATAAAAAAAAGCCAAATACCTGCTCTTATATCTTTCAATATTGAGATGTGATATTCTTGCCAGTTAAGATGGACACCTTAACGTACATACTCGCGTATACTGTAAACTGATCTCGTATATACATCCTAGTTCGATACCTGATTTTTTATATAAAAAGGCTTGAGTTTTTCACATACCTCTTGTATATAGCTTTTGAAAAATGCTATGGATAATCCTAGACACCAGATTCACACCAACGTGACTTGGCCGTAACCACCACCACCACAACAGTTGATGCTATGATATGAAAAATTTGACCAACTCTGAAAATGAATTCCTGCCAATTAACAACTCCTATGAGGAATAAGATAAAATAATATATATCAGTAAATGTGAGGAATACATTGAATAATACCAAGAAGTTAAAAAATAAACAAAAAATACTGTACAGGCCCCCCCAAGTTCGCGGATTTTTACTTCGCGGATGACACTGGATGTACCAAGAATGTCTGAGGGTAGTTTTAAAGTTGCCGGCATTTTTGAGGCTGGGACAAATTTATTAAAAATGTGACAGTCTACCCTCAAGTCCGTGCTCTATTACAGAACTACAGTACTATATTAATAGAGCAAGAACTTGAGGGTAGACTCGCATTTTAATAAATTTGTTTCGGAGAGGATTTTCCAATTATTATTTATTTGTACGTGTTTGTGTGTAGTAAGTGTGAGTGTGTATGTGTCTACACACATATACTGTACAATACTACAGGTAAAAGAAATAATTGTCTAAAGGGCAAACACAAAGGGAATACAGGAAACATTTCTTTGTACTGTACACAAGTAAAAGTGCAATCACCCCCTCCCCCCCCTGTCCGCAAATGTTATTCGCGGATTTGGCGATTAGTGGTCATGGCCATTTTGAGTACCTAACCCCTGCGAATTTGGGGGGCCCCCTGTATTACCATTTGGCTGCTGGACGATGGCATTTGTCAGTCGTTTCTCTCCACAGAAGACAGCTCAGAACAGCTGAAATCCTCACTTCCCCCTCTCAGTGTGAACTCTGAACACCTAAAATAATTATTCCCTTTTATCTTTTTGACCATATGATAATTATCATTACTTATTTTTTTGCACATTTTTTATGTAAGATTGTGTGGGCCTGGAGTGGTATGGATAGAGCTAAAAGGATGTGGTTATAGTGACAAGTCTTATTACAAATACAAAAATTATATATAAAATACTGAAAAACAAGCAACACTACAAAAAACGTAAGGAATATTATCACAGATGTAAAGTATCAGCCTACATAGTAAGTCAAAAGGATGAAGCAAACTCATAACTCCCTGTACCTCCTTTCCCAGTGTTCATAAACCATACCACCTACCTTTCTTATATTTTTGAACAACTGTGCTACTTCAAACATTTGTGTACAATCTAGTTGAAAAAAATGCAGCTAAAACCATTAAGGAAAGCTAAATGATAGTTTAACACACCTGCTATTTGCAGACTGCTTGGACTCAACACTCGCCAAAGAAACTCAGCCCAGCCGCTTAGCAATTGGGCTCCTACACTCTGCTATCTCCCCTATTCAGCCTGCTAACTCTCAAGTGCAAAGAAATGTTTATTCCCTTTATGCATTTGACCTTTTGATAATTATTTATTTTCATTCTTTTTGCACAATAAAGTATGTATGCAAGATTGTGCATGCATGGAACTACTTGTACTTAAAAAATACATGAATGTGTATCTACCAGAAATTACAAGTTGAAGAATAACCATAACACCTTGCAGCTCGGCCTGGTAGCAACAGGGCTTGAAGGAAGTGGCTACAGTGATGAGTCTAACTTAGCAACAATACTGCCACCAATGCTAACAGACGCATATCTTCATTTATATCAGGAATTTGTAGATTTAAGGCAGAAACATAGGATAATATATTTTCAGAATTCTTAAAGTGAGAAGTTATATGTGATAATGGAAGATTAAAAGATAATGGTAAGGTAATATCAAATGTATGTTATGCAGATGATACTGCTCTTATCACAGATAGTAAAGAAGCATTACAAAAATGCATTATCAGATTAGTGGAAAAAGGTGAAAATTATGGGTTAAGAGTTAATTCTCTAATGACTAAAGTAATTGTTTTCAAATTAGAAATAAATCTTAAAATAAAAAATATGGTAAACAACAGGGAACTTAAACAAGTCGAAAATTTTGTTCCAGTATTTGGGAAGTCGCATTAGCTGTGATGGTAGATGTATGGAAGAAATCAAAACAAGAATTGAGCAACCAAGCACAGCATTTAATAATCGAAAGACCTAATGAAAAGTCACATAACTTCAATTTGAGAAAAAAGCTGCTCAAAGGCTTTACCTGGCAAGGACTGATATATGGGTTAAAAGCGTGGACACTTTCAGCAGACACCAGAAAGAGGTTCGAGTCCTTTGCAATGTGGTGTTATAGGCAAATGTTAAGAAGAAGCTACACTGAGAGGAAAACAAATGAAGAAGTACTAAGATTAGTAAAAACTTCAAGAGAAATACTTAAAATGTACAGAAAAAGAAAATTTTGATAATTTGGTCAGATAATTAGGGATGAGGGGAGAACAGAAATATTAATGGGCAAAGTTGAGGGTAGGAGAGCCGGGGGAAAGCAGAAACTGGGTTAGGGAATGAAATTAATAAGAAGGCCCCCAGAGAGATACATAACCATAGAGGATTAAAAACAACCAGAAAAAGTTTAGAGTGGAGGAATGTGGTCGCCAACTCTGCATGATTTAGTGAATAAGGTTCTGCTTTTCATGCAGCAACATAAAGAGAGAATCTAGAAGTATGGTAGGCAAATCCAGGATAAAAGCACTTACTGGCAAAGTTAACCTACCACGAGCATGTACTGGGTAACTACTGGTCACCGTAAATGACCCACAAAAATGCAAAAATTTTAACAGCTCAAAAATACTATGCTTATATAGATTGACCCCCTACTTTGAGGAAAAACAAAAAACAAATCAAATAAACTCAAACTGTATTCGAGCATATACGTTAGGCATCATGAAGCTTCAGAGTAAGAGTGAGACCTACCCTTTGCACACCATACCAAATAACTGACCAACTTAGCTCAGCATCAAGCCATACTTTCTCTCAATGAATTACATGATAATTTTTTCACGCACAAACACCAGTAATACAGTATAAAAACATATCGTGCAAATGCCACTTCACCCTTGCCAAAAAGAGTAAAAATATATATACTGTATATTTTTACCGAAACAAACAAACAAACAATGATATCTCCATTAGCTGGAGCAATTGGTGCAGAGCACTTCTGAGAATGAAAGATTTGGGTAACGAAATGACTCTCAAAGCCGGAAAAAAATTCCCCCTTCCCTGGAATTTTCTAGGTAACGGAAAAATTTTCTCGGAAGTTCCAGAAAATACACCCTATTTTATCTCTCAAACCCGGAAAAAATCCCCCATCCCCGGAATTTTCCTTGCACCGGGAAAAATTTCTCAATTTTCTGGAAAATATACCCCTCGGAAAATCGTTCCTAAAGACAGAATTTTCCGAGAAAATTTCAATTCCGGCTATTGGAGATATTAACAGTACTGTAAATGTTTGAGACATATACCTGTAACCTAGAGTTCTCCAAGATTAAATTAAGTAGATATAAAAAAGTTACAGTATATTCATATTGTCAAATGTTCATCTGCTACATCCTTCTCACACGGTAAAATCTCCGTTAGCCGGAATCCCTCAAACCTGGAACTCTGACAGCCGGAATTATATTCATCTTGGAAAATCATTCCCAAAGCCAAAATTTTTGGGGAAATTATGGCTTTGGAAACAATTTTCCGATGGGCACATTTTCTGGAAAATTCCAAGAATTTTTTTCCAGTTCCCAGAATATTTGGGAAAATTCTGGGGATGGGGGATTTTTTTTATTTATTTTTTTCCGGGCACCAGAAAATGCCGGGGATGGGGCATATCTTTCCGAGTTCAAGAGATGATGTAATGCGCAATTTCTGGAACTTCCGAGATGGTTTTTCCATTACCCGGATAATTCCGGGGAAGAGGGATTTTTTTCCGGCTTTGAGAGTCGTCTCGTTACCCGGAAATCTCTCGTTCCTGGAAGTGCTCTGCACCAATTGTTCCAGCTATCAGAGATATCACTTAACACAGAGAATACCATTATAAACAAGGTGGTACATTATCTTTATTAAAAGTAAATAAAGCAAATTATGGATATTTATTAAAATAAAAAATTTAAATGATTCTTAATTTACCAAACAGAATTTTGGGATATATAAAATACTGTACTACGATAAGTGTTATGTACTGTACTTACAATAAGCTGGCAAGGAAAACCTTTGATCTCAATGCAGTACTGTAGCTGAAGAGAACACAAATGGTGGATAATAAAGTTTTTATAATTTTATTAGCAAGTTTTAACACAGAGCAGTGGTGATTATAAAACTACTAAGATAAACTGCATATCATAATGAAAGAGCTAATATAGCTGTAAATCTTCCTGATAAATGGACTTAATGTGTTCTACCATTAAGGGAATTCTTGATTCACTATTATGTTCAACATTAATTAAACACATTGCATTTATCAAATAAAATCTCCATTACCCATAAAGACAACCTAAAACATATGTTTTAAGGTTCACATTTTATACTTGGCATATAAGATTTCCCCAAGGTTGGGGGAAATATTTTATAAAGTTTCAAAGGTTGTCTTTTATGCCAGTATATACAGTAAGGAATTCTAATACTAAATCCTCAAATACAGTTCTAGAAATTTCTTTTTGAACGCAACTTCCCTCATAACGTATAAGACGCTTGCCAATAAGGCGCTCGTGATCCTGTGATGCTGAATACTACATCTGGGTTAACTTTATGCGTTTTCCTTTGAATTACTGAAAACCCATGCATAAACACGATACACACCATTTACTGGGTACCAATACCACTTGGCATCTCGATCAGAGTCTTTATCACAGATATTTTTACTGACAAGGTTTTCATCTACTTTCATTTGCAGCTTATTTCCCTGTTCACCATGATCCTCAATGATAAATTTTGTTTCAGTATGAAAGATCCAGCCAAGGCCAACAATATACCAAACTTGTGCAGTGAAAGACTTCGAGTTAGTTTCATTGTACATATCATTTGTGCTCTGTTTATCAGCATCATCTGCACTTGTGCTTCCATTTGTGCATACTTTGTTACCCGAATTCCATAAAGCTGAAATATTGGGAATATAAATCCATGAAGACCATGAGTTCAAAACTTCAGATTCATTTTCAGTGAAATTAGCTTCATTTCTTTGGTTGCTGTAAGCTGCAATATCTGCGTTTGTTGTGGTGCCTACCCCTTCTGGTGGCAATTCCAGTGTTCCTGAAGAAGACAATCCACCCGAGTCATGGGGAGGAGGAGGAGGCTGATCAGGAGGCTGTGAATCTTTATTTCCACTTTGTTTTTGTTCTCCCTTGTCTGAAGTTAACTGCAAGTCTTTTTCACCATTTGGTGTTGCTGAATCTTTTCCACGAGTTTCAGGATGTCTCGAGTTGTCAAGATCTTGCGAGTGTGTGTAGGATTTTGAGGATTCTGTACTTGCAGAATTTTGTTTATCAGTATCAGGTAGATCCTTTTCTTCATGTTCTGCATACACGCCCATGAGGCCTTTGCCGGTACGAAGGTCTTTGTCGGCCCGAAGGACATCTCTCATTGCCTGAAAAAGCATCTCAAGATGTTTTAGGGTCTTTTCATCTGCACCAGAATGATGATAATGGTCTCGGTGTGCTAATTCCTCCATTTTCTTCATGGACTTCTCTTTTTTTTTTAGTGCATGTTCCTGAAACAATTTTATCATATTCTTTATATCTTTTACTTTTGTCATGACTAAATTATGATTTCCAAAATCACTGCATGTGTCTGCTTTTATTTTCTCAATTTTCTTGAGCAAGAGAGACTCACTTTCTAGATCTGGAGCAACTACTTCCATTCCTTCTAATAAGTCCACTGCAACATTCTTGTTACCCAAATGTACATGAAGAACTCTGTCAGATGTAGATGAAGGCATTTTGCCAATCTTATCATTGTTTTTCATAAAAGTATCACTCTCCCTAACAGCAGGAATATCTTTCTCAACAGCCTCTTCACTTGTAATTATGACCTGTAAAGACATTTTGCTTGGTTCTTCCACATGTATCTCTGATTTATGATTGCTCTGTGTTGTTTTAAGGGACTCAAACAAGTCTTCCTTATGATACTTGGTACTTGATGAATCTTCCGTAATATCTTGAACTTTCACACTGTCTAGTATCTGAGTAACAGCTTTCAAACTTAAATCTTTGTCTGTTTGGATATCTAAATCTTTCCCGACTACTAAGTTTTCTTGATTACTTAGGAGTTCACATTTCAGCTCGCTGTCATCAACTTTCAATTCAGTATCTTCAGTTGAAGAGACAGATAATTCCAACTCTTTACTTATAGTAGCAGTGGGTTCTGAAGGTCTCTCTAAAATCGGTTCCCTCTTTGGCTTGGGATGCCTCAATTCTTTTGGAAGACTAACATAAACATCATCTCCCTTTTCATGAACTGCCTGAAGAGTGAGAGCAGCTTTATGAACTTTTCTCAAGAAGTTAGGAAATCCTGAAATTAGACGTTTTATTGAGAAATCATTCAGCTTAGAAAAAAGTACATGCAGGGTGACAATTAATTCATGGACACATTACAACTATTAACATTTCGATATGTCAAATGTAAATTTTTAGTGTTACAGGCAATGTTATGGACTAAGCTTTGTAACAATGAACCACACCATCACAACTGAAAAGAAAAGGAACATGGTGCGAAGAACCACTACTGTTGAGCTCTATTTTGTCAATAAATACTCTTTGTGGACAAGTTCCAAATGGAATTCAATACTGTGCTATGTTAAAGCACACAGGGCAACTGGCAGTGTAGCAGATACAAAAATGTCAGGGCAAAGTAAATCATTAAGAAATAAAAAAACAATTGAATGAGTGAGAGAATAAGTCCAACAGAGCCTACTAAAATGAAGTCTCAAGAGCTCAGCATTACCAGAAACTATGCATACAATTGTTAAGAAGGATATCAGTTCATACCCCTAAAAATTGCAAGTGATACAACAAGTGAGACTGGCAGTGTACGGTACACACAATCTGAAGAATTTAGTGACGTAAACCAAATCTCAGCAAAAACTTAATAATATCTGAAGAAGCACATTTTGACTTATTGGAATATGTCAACAAAGAGAACTGTCAGATATGGAACTGGATAAATCCTCATGAAATCCTTTACATTACATAGCCAGATAGTTGCCTTGTAGTTTACCATCACCAAATCTTCTGAAAATGAATGGAGGAAAACCATGAATGTGAATGGTAATTATTACAATACGCCAGGATAATTCACTGATTTTTATTTTGCGGTCCTCTATTATTCACGGAAGGCACCTGGATGTACCCAAGAATATCCAAGGGTAGTTTTAAAGTTGCCGGCATTTTTGCGGCCGGGGCAGGAAGCCATTTGCTCTAGTATTAGTAATTTCCTTTCCTGTACAGTATTGTATATATGTGTGTGTGTGTATTTGTAGACACACACTCACACAAAACACATTCAAATAAATAATAATGGGAAAAACCTCTCAAATAATCAGAAACAAATTTATCAAAAATGTGACAGTCTGCCCTCAAGTATACTCCGTGCTTAATTAATAGGAAAGCACGGTACTTAATTCCTTTCATTGCCTTTTTTCATCATCTGTACCTTCAACTATCAAAATTCATTTACACTTCCCTGTGTTTGGTATGGGCATAAGACTCAAGATATACAAAAAAAAATTTCATAATTACCAGTAGCAGCTATAAAATTTGTCAGTCTTTGTGGTAAGCTGGTTCCAGGGTTGTCAAAGTAGGTGAGGGTGTATTCAAGACCCGGCTGTGAAAATCAATTATGTATCATCAATTATTATTACTATTATAAACTTTCATAGTAATAATTCTCTTAAAAAGAAAGGATTCTCATCCGTCAAATACATGATGAATAGTTGTTCACATGCACTTACACTAAACCTTCACTAATTCAATACAGTACAGTACTCACAATTCAATATTTGTGGATAATCCAACATTATTTTCCCGGTAGAATTAGTGACAAGATTTCATAATTTGGGGGAAAAATATCAAATTATACATAACCTCACATAATCAGCCTCTTGATACCATACCCTATTTTTTCCATATGATACACTATTGAATTGAGTACAGTATTTGTGAATTCAAGATTTGTAACGATTTCGAAGAACGTAATCCTCACGAATACGTGTGTGTGTGTGTCCAGATATCCCTCGAGATACGAATGTTTATGATACAAAAGCTTCCCTGCTTATACGAATTTGGGTCCGGGCAAAAATTCAAATTGCACACCCCCAGGAGTCAACTGGGGTGGCCACATCCCCCTAGCACTTTCCTTACCAGGCTGAAGGTACAGGTACAGGTATTAATAAGCACAGATTATTACAGTAAAAAAATTTTTATTAAATAATAAATCAAAAACAAATTAAATATTACAATGGGAATGGCAGGCATGGGGAGGAGTAGAAGACGACGAACCTTTTTAGGGAGTATGCGGTCAGTTCCCCTCTCTCCCACCCTTTTGCTCCATACCGAATTTAATATTTTATCAATGATAAAACCTACTCCATAAGAGGCTGATCATATGAGAATATATAATAAATGTTGGAGGTGTGTGTATCACTGTATTGGCCCTTTTCTTGAAATGTATAAAATACATTAATGAAAATTAGAATCAATAGATTTATAAACTGCAAAAAGTTGGATAATCCATCATCGTTGCATTTTTCCTATAAATACTGTATACTTACATACTGTATATTCAAAAAATTCCCTGGAACTCTCTTGATTTTATACCTATTACTCATTAATGAGTCATCCATCTTGCGACAAGTTGATTTGTGTTTCATGAACTATACACATACAGTATATGTAATGATCTCTTGGTGAGGGGGGGGTGTGCAGTCAGTACCTCCTACAATACCATATGGACAGGACTGATTCCCGTCTGCTTACAGTTGCCATATAGGGATTTTTCTAAAGCAATTATCCAATAGTATTTGGGAAGCAATGAGTGGGTATTAGAGCTTATTGTATTGATTTTGTGTACATTAAAGCCTTGACTAATGATGGTTGTAGATGTAGTAAAATTAATGTAAAAAATACTGTATGTATCTTTTAATTACTGTCATGTAATGTATGTACAATAGAAGTGACCAATGAATTGGTAGAGAAATAAGTGAGTCTGCGCAGAAGGCCAACATATGTACGTATGCACTCGTGGAAACTGTGTCATTTATCTTATGTACACACACACACACACACACACAACCTCCCCCCACACACACATACATACATCCTTGATCACCGAAGGGTCAAGACGTACCTGGTGCTCCTCTGGGAGCAGCCAGGTCAACTGTTATGTTGGCCCATACCAACTCCCTCCCCTGAACCCTCCTCCCCACCGGAACATCAACAAGTTCTCGCCAGAAGTTACAATTTCATTTAGGAAAGGAATGGAACCAGTGTTGAACAGAGGTGAACAATGGTGAACAGTGCTTAAGTCAGTGAGAACAAGTTAACATTCACACAGTGTGGTCCCAGGTACCCAGTGATAACTGCCCGTGAGACCCAACAACAACCAGTGATGTGTTAATCCGTCTAAGATAGGAAGGCCTGGGACCACACCTCACTCCTATAACACCATCTGTGAGGGAATTACTACACCACGTCAGGTCCCTCATAACACCATCTTATAAGATAGTGATTAATTTGAATATAAACATGCTATAGTTTGCACTTGACAAAACATTTATTAATCATTTAGTATATTAATTTGAGTACATGTACAGTACGGCTTTGCCCTTAGGACAGTGTAACATAAGGCGCAAAATTGTAAATATGATGCGCCAGATTGACTCCCGCAAAATAGGAAAGATTCGCTTTAAATTAAAACTTTGTCCTTAATTGTGGGTGTCGCTTTAAATCAATAATCTTAAATTGAATCGCTTTAAATCGACGTCCTACTGTAAAAAAATTGGGGTTTGGCTGTACATATAAATATCATACCTTGTGAACATCTTCACGAGCCCTAATGACCATTGTTGACCAGTATTCATTCACACGATGAACACCTGCTTCTTCTGGTACATAGTCAGGTTTTATTGCTTCACTCATTATCACAACCTCCTTCTCTTCATTCACAGTGAAGCGGCGTTTAAATAAGTAGTCACGATTAGCGAAAAAATGCTGGAGGAAAAAAGAAACCTTGAGCAATAATCAACAGTGACAAACATAACTTATCCTTCTTTTAAAAATGCATGGCTTAATTAGAGATCATAATCTCTTATAAAAATATAAGACAAAAGATTCTTCAATTTGTCTTTCCAATAAAATTTAGAAAGATGATCATAGTAGCTTTCTCATTTATAATGCTAATCCTTCAGTGGCGTGTGCAACGACCAGTAACAGAAAGTGTACCCAATAGGGTAATATGCATTTTATTGCTAGGTGTGTGTGATGAAAGAAAATATGTACAGTTGCCCCCACATAAACATGCCACGGCATGGGAATGCGTGAGAACACAAGTATGAGATGTGGCTTTGCAGCACCGTAGTTATGGATGGAAAACCATGGATTACACTGTTTGTCGATTCCCTGTAGTTCAGTCCTAGTCACTCAGTCATGGTTACACAACAATGCTGCATAACAAACAAATAAAGCATCCATGTGATAAGTTTTTCAGCAATGATGTGTGGCCAAGCAAACAGGGTAATTTCACTGTTTCACACCCATTCATTCAGCCCTGACAATGGCGCTGCATTGCCACATCTCGTACCCAAGCCCTTACACACTCCCAGGCCATGGCATGTTCATATGGACGCAACTGTACATCAACTACAGTGCAGTATACTGTATGATAAACTTTCTGGAAATTTAAGCAAAGCTAATTTGTCTGCGAGATGAACACTCAGTTGTAATGACATTTATATAGTGATATCTCCGTTAGCTAGAACAATTGGTACAGAGCACTTCCTGGAATGAGAGATTTCCAGGTAACATGGCAACTCTTTCAAAGCCAGAAAAAAATCCCTCACCCCCGGAATTTTCCAGGTACTGGAAAAATTTTCTTGGAAGTCCGAGAAATTGCACATTACATCATCCCTCGAACCTGGAAAGAAATCCCCCATCCCCAGAATTTTTCAGAATAATGCATTTGAGAACGATTTTCCATGAAAATTCAATTCCAGCTATCAGAGAGTTCCGGTTAAGAGGCATACCGGCTAACGGAGATATTACTACACTGTATTCAGAAAATAATTGAGCGGTCACTCCGATTTTTTGGGGGGCATAAAATGCATCAATGTTTAAAAAGTTGGTGAAAAGATTGGTTGATTTTTTTAAATTCCTACACATTTAGCCTTTTACTCATTTAAATGTACAGTATCATGAAAAGAATAATTTAAAATTTCACAATATCTTTTATACTTACAGGGAATTTAACAAGCCAGTAAAGCAAATCAGAGTTACTGTCTTGATCTGAATCCAAAACACGCAGCTGAAGAGCAGTGTCATCCCAGTCTGTTCTGAAGTTACTGTTCAGCTGTACCTCCACAAAGGCACTGAGGCTTACATCATCATATGTACCATATACTGAGAAATATTAAAAATACACAATAAATAATACAAAAATATCCTATAAAGTATATATATGACAAATACTGTATACTACATGCACGTAAAAATCCATTTTCTGTGGTAACAATTACTTCCAGACTCTGCAGAAAAGAATGAACAATATCCCAAGATGCCAATTCATTATCAGTTTTGGGAAAATTATATATACAGTATTGAAGGGGTGTCTATTGTGCAAATGCTGATGATCTTGGTGTTGGCTGGATGGATACAGTATTACTGATGACCTGGGAAGGCAGCTGAGCCAACTAGAGCCCTACATCACAGCCACACATCCCATCCTTCTCCTGCACTCGAGAGATAATTGTTATCATAAAATATATATTTTTACACACTGTACAGTACATGTTAAGGTCATCGTTATTATCTGCAATGCATCATATAGGGCATTTTATTTACTTCTGAAAGCCATGTATTATACTGCTGTATTAAGAGTGTTTAACTAAGCTAAAAATAAATTAATTTTGTTGTGTTTTAGTTATCATACCTCACAAGATTGTTATGTGATGCAGTGGCAAGATGTTGACTCAAGATGCTTTAATTGTAGGAACACTGATATGTTTTGTATCCAAGAGTTTGATCTGATGTCAATGGAAAGAAGAAAATGTTAAATGAAGAAGTTTAGCATTTCTTCTTCAGTTAAAACCTCATCAAAAACCAAATCCAGTGAAAACAAAGCATCTCAAATGTCTGTGATAGTCGGAACATGCCTAAATTCCTTTAGTGATCGATGTAGATATTTGATTTCATTGGGAGTTAAAAGCTTGTGTTTACTGGTGTTGATTCATGTTGGGAATTTGGGGATACCGGTACCCAAAAATACGCATTGAAAAACAGCCGTAACACCTCACAGCTTGGCCCAGTAGCCTGGTGGTTGCAATGACGAGTCTAACCTGGCTACAATGCCATGATTAATCGCTATTAAGCATTATTATATCAGTAAACACTCATAATAACAATAAATCCAGTGAAATACGGGGGGGGAGGGAGGGGAATTAAGTGCAGACGACACTCGACTAGCAGTCATTTGACTCGCTCCCCTTACCCGCTCCCATTGTCCGGAATACGATTGAAATACGTATGGAAGAAATACTTATCTTTTAGTCTAATTTGATGACGGGCAGAGTGATAAACAAATTATATAAATGGCCTTGAGTTGCCAACTGTCTCCAGCAGTGTTCGAAGAATCTTGAACAAGACTGTACCTGTAAAAGTGTGTCAAGCAACATTGCGGCAAAGAGAAAGGGAAGAAAGATTATCAACTAAAGTAGGAGAGTTAATAAGACAAAAGGCCTTTGATGCCACCCTATCTAACAGTTGGACAGAAGAGGAGCCACCCCAGACATGAGAGCAGTACTCCAAGTTAGGACGAATGAGTCCCTTATATACTTGAACCAACTGCTCAGGAGTGAAGTAGCTACGACATCTGTACAGCATTCCCAGCTTTTGGGAGGCAGCTTTAGCAATGTTAAGGATGAGTGGCTTCCATGACATATTAGAGGAAATATTGAGGCCTAGCATACCTATTTTAGAATTTGGCAGAATGATTGCGTCCTGAAATGTGATCGGTGGGAGATCATCTAATTTGGAAATTGTAATTGGTAAATACTGTATTTTATTACCATTGAATTTAACCAAGTTTCTACCTCCCCATTCGGAGATGCTGCACAGATCCAGATCGATAGATGAAATGATATCAGCTCTAGAAACAGAATGGATAGAATTAGTCGTAGTGTGAAGTAAATCATTGATAAAAAGAAGGAAGAGAGTAGGTGAAAGAACAGAACCCTGTGGGACACCACTATTGATAGAGAAAGAGCGAGAGATCGGTGCCTCAACAACAACTGCCATGGATCATTTCTCAAGTACGCTAGAAATTAGAGAACACAGTGGGGTAGAGAAACCATAAGAGGGAAGTTTATAGAAAGCAATGACTTGTGCCATACCCTGTCACATGCTTTGGAGATGTCGAAGGCTACGACAAAAGTTTCCCCATAATTCCTAAGAGAGGATGACCAGAGATGGGTGCAGTAGGAGAGCAGATCACCAGTAGATCTTGCCTGGCAAAAGCCATACTGGTGATCTGACAAAAGAGAATTTTTTGGTTGTAACTCACCTTTGTAAGCATACAAATGCTTGTGAATGTGATGTCTCTGACGCCATACAATGTGATGCTCACGTTCAATAAATGGCTCCCAGGAATCATATACACGAGATGAGTTTGTATATCCTAAACTCCCACTACATTTGCAGTAATCTATATTGGCCATCTGAAAGCAAATACAATCACAAATTTTTAAAACGGAAACCATTTTGGGGGGTTAGTGTTTAAACAGCCATTTGTTAATCAGATTCTATTAGAACATTCCAATTGAGGTAAGCACTGAGTAAATTGAGTCGGGTAGCTTATTTTGATTCTCTTGCTTTCTGCCATGTTCTCCTTATCTAATTTTTATGTTTTTGTGTAATATTCAAGTTCCTAAATTGGTTTCATTTAATTCTCAGTCAGTCCATCCTGTTTTTCCATTTTTTCAATTATCTTTGGTTCCTACATATTATATGTTCCCTAGTTATTACCTATGTTTTCTTAAGTTTCCTAATACACTAATCCTCTATATTCCACAGCACACTATTCTACTTTTTTAGATTCACTGACATTCCCCCATGCTAATTAATGTTCTCATCCTCCTCCCTGTTTACTAATGTTTAATACAGTACACTTGGTCATTTACAGGAGCAAGTTAGTGATAGTTATTAGTTCATAACCAGGCTTAATTACAGCCTGCCTAAAAAAATTTGTTAAGAAAATAAAATCTGTCAATGGTTAATGAAAGCTTTGGCATAAACTATGAAATATTAAGGCTAAGATCAGAATTTACTATCAAGAATAACTCTACATCTTATGTCTCAAACAATGATGCCATTCATAATTGTACATAATGTATATGGAAAATAAGCTTTGTTATACACTGTACTCCTTCATTTAACAATGTTTTCCTAAGTTTTCTTTACGCTTGAAGATTTACATAAACAGCCGTCACCATGCACCTCATGCTGGCTAACAATAATATCCCGTTGTGGGTCGTTTGACCTGTGCCCGGGTGGGCTAATTCCCGTAAAAAAAAAAAATCACTTCAATATTATTTTAAGTTATTAAGTTCTTCACTCAAGATAAATTCAAACACAGCATCACTCAACCCACAGACTTGGTGCTTGCCTCAACAAGTACACCAAGATAAACTCTGAACTAGTTGACTATGACTAGGGATGTACCAGAAAGTAAATTTTATTATCTGACTAGATACCAGATTTGCAATAAGGTTTAAAAAATTCAGCCCAAATTATCTAGCTGGACAGTATACAGAAGTTTGTGTTGCCTTCTGTATAGAGTAAATAGGATCTGCTAACTGCAACCCTACATCTAAACTCATACAGTATTTTAATATCTTAGGTATCTTTCACTCATTTGGCCATTCATACGATTAAGTCTCTATTTATATTTTCGTCCATGAAGCATTCAAATTTACAAGAAATACAATTAACATTATCTACTCCACCATCATTCTTAAAATTAATGTTCCACAGCAGCCATGCTCCATTATGAAGGGACAGAGATAAAGATGATTTTTATAGCTATGGAGTCCAAAACTATAAAATCTTCTTTATCGCTTATCATACTCTTTATGTATACAGTGCTGTACTTTACTCTTTATATAAATCTTATATTTATTATCTTCTCAGGTATTTTTTTTATTTACTTGCCAAAGACAGGCTTTTGGTAAAGTCACAAAAATTGTTTTGTTTGGCTGCATTAGAATGTAGGCTAATAAGAAGCAGTGTCAAGGAGTGCCCTGGTGCACCTCTTGGCTTTCAAAGCATTCACATTGTAGGGTTGAAACCTGCTTCAAAAACCCTAGTTTGACTGAGCGAGTTTTCATTTGTCTAACATTTGCACTGTATCTACTGATCTAAAGCAGATAGCTTCATGGATAAGGCAGTTTTTCCAGGGAATGTTCTAGGAATCCCAAGCCACCTTTTGCATGATCAAGAGACTAAAAAATCATTAACTTCTAATAACTCACTATAGCAAACATATACATTACCTGTTGATCAATCACTTGTCTTTTCCTACAAGTTTCACATTCAACAGTAGCCCTGCACAGTTCTCCAACACTGTCAAGATCTTCAACAGCTCTGAAAATCAAAACATCATATGTTTATCAAGCAATACTGCATCTACCAGTGCTTAGTAAATCACTAAATAATCTATAAAACGATGCATGACACAATGTCTGATGAAAAATATTATAAGTTCAACAACCTCAAAGTTGTACAAGAACAAGAATTCACATTATACATTCCTTCCACATTGAAGCTGTAATTCTTTGTTTTATCATATACTGTACTGTAATGTACTTTGCACGGAAGAAAGAAAGGAAAAAGGGAATAAATCACACTGGAAGTAAAGAATAATAAGTACAGTACCCCTGAAAATTTTCTTTCAAAAGAATATGAGACATTAAAGCAATGTTAGATGTTTGTCTAGATAATAGAGATAGTGGGCAAGACCAAATAGTTACAGGGAGAAAAAAGGGGGAATACTTCCATGTAAAATTTTTTTTGGGAAAAGGAAGTGCTGTATGAGCAACTACAATACATACAGATTCAAAACACAGAAGGCAATATTGAATATATAAATCAACTGCAAAGTTTAAGTATATCAGAACCCGTATGTACACATATAAATCAATGTAAACGAAAGGCTAAAGACTGATACTGTACCGATGGAGTTCAACAGTGGATGTACAAAATACGAGTTATACATTACAGTACTGTACTTGTTAATACCAAAACCTCAATACACTTCATAATATTTGTACCCTTACCTCTGCAAACTTTCATCAGGTATCCTCTCCTTATTCCAGTTAAAATTTGAGAAGCAAACTGCAGAGAGAAGCATGTGCCGTCCCCGAGACATCAGTATTCGTCGAAAGTTTGCAAGCATAGCCCGAGCAGCCTTGAATAAGGATAGGGTAATAAAAATTATTTTAGTTGACAGAGGTGTGTGGAAAAGATGAAACACTAGAAATATAGTGAGAAAATATGAAAAACAAGGCAATATCATGGGATTTGCAAGAACATGTGATCAGGAGGAAGAACTGACAACAAGAGTAATGTAACGTATACTGTACTGATAGTGTTTTAGCTTACATCCAGTGCAATGTGTCATAGTGTATTTACAGCGTATCACAAAGCTTTTAAAATCTCATATGAGGCACACTATGTCCAAATGGTAATACTGTAATCAGAAATTAATCAAGTTTTCAAGAGTGGCTCAGGATGTCTGAGGACCAATAAGGTCTCCCAGTAGCTCTATGCAATGGTTCAATTACAATAAACTTCTTGCCACAAGGCAAAAATTTATCAACTTAAGGTTTCACAAAAATTATAATATTTACCAAATTTATTTTTTCCAGGATCTCCCATTTCAGCTGGTAGCAGATACAGATTAGGACAGATAACTATGAGGTATATAATAACTATCAGGTGGCTTAAGACAAATTTAAAAACCCTAGTACAGTATTAATAGCGAACTACAGTACTGTACATTCAAACGGACCCACCTGTACTGTACAGTAACCAGGTGCTAGTTTTGAACTTGTAAGAGAAAATAACTAATGAAATTGCTTTTATCATTTACTGTATTCAATTGATGATTACACATTTCAGCATAATCTACAGCATTATGATTCTTCTGTAGAAATATAAATACTGTACCTATATAATAAAAATAAAAGGTCTCACCTCTTCCCCCCACATGCGAGAATATGCAGAGTGAAGTTGCAGCCCACGGCGGAATTTTTGTGCTGCGTGGACCTCGCATTGTCGAACGATTGTGCGATAAAGATAACAAGTGATTTCCTTTAGCCTCTCCAGCACTTGTGACTGTCGGCTCTGACCCACCAATATCACAAGTAAGCTCCAACTCATCACCCCAGTACTCCCTGAAAATGGTGAATTATATTACAAACAACTTGATATTTTGCAAACTGCATCACATTTTTCCATCTGAGGAAAATATGTAGATCTTTTACAATCCTACATCTAAGTCCCTGATACAAATTAGAAGACGCCCATGGGTGAGATGGGTTAACATATGAGGGAGGTGGCCGTAACTATAAATTCAGTCTCATTGTGTGTGTGTGTGAACCAAATAACCAAAATAATAAAACATGCTTCTAAAATTCATTACTAACATATACAGTACTGTATAATAGACTGATTCTGAAAGCCTTTCTTAAAACTGAGACAAGAGTAGGTGGCTTCTGTTAAATAACCAGCTAAGCTTACAAGGTTGTACAGTAGCTAAAACAACTATCTGTGCAGGTGGGGGTCGATATGCTCCAAAACTTTACGTTGACTAGTGACAGCCCTCATATACCAAAATTTATCATCCATGGTCTCATATTGTTTCCCACAAAGTATGCACAGATAGTTGTTTTAGCTACTGTACATATTCTTAAATTAATGTTTGAAATGTTAAGTGTGGTAGTGGTTGGAACTAATTTAATTATTAATTTTAACCGATCTAAACACACAAATACACTAGAAAAGCATATTTTTTACTTTCTAACAGAGTTGTGTGCACTTATGCAAATTTACCCAAATAAAAAGTAAGATAATAGTAAAACAAATAACTACAGTAGTCCGAGGATTAGTCAATGTTAACCATCACTTGTTTTTGAGATAGCCCCCTTCACTACCATATTGGTTGAAAATGTAACACCCAAAGAACAACTGTAGTAAATATGGTCGGAATATATAAACATGCTCAGGTACATAAAAACATAAGAATGGAGGAAACTGCAGCGGGCCTATTGGCCCATACTGGGCAGTCCCATTTACACCCAACCCCTATTGCTCATATGAGCATCCAACCTATGTTTGAAGCTATCCAGCGTATTCGAGTTAATGATGATATTTGGTAACTTGTTCCATTCATCCACTACTCTGTTTCCAAACCAGTGTTTACCTATTTCGCGCCTAAATCTAAATTTGTCTAATTTAAAACCATTGTTACGAGTTCGCTCCTGGTTGGATAGTTTGAGTACCTTTGTAATGTCCCCTTTGTTCAACCCTGACTTCCATTTATACACCTCCATCATGTCGCCCCTCACTCTACTTCTCTCGAGGGAGTGCAAATTAAGATGCTTTAACCTGTCTCTGTACTCAAGGTTCCTAATGCCCGGGATTAGTCTTGTCATTCTCCTCTGAATTCTTTCCAAGGATTCTATATCCATTCTGCAATAAGGTGACCAGAATTGAACTGCGTAATCCAGGTGAGGTCTCACAAGCTCAAGATATAGTTTTAGGATGACCTCACTAGTCTTGTAACTAACACTCCTTTGTATGAACCCAAGTACTTTATTAGCCTTGTTACGAGCAAATACACATTGTTTACTTGGCTTAAGGTTCCTACTTATCATTACTCCTAAAGCTCTCTCGCAGTCGGATTTCTCAATGGCATCGTTGTTCATCTGGTATCTGGTTTCCCTGTTTACATCTCCTATACTGAGTACTTTACATTTGTCCACGTTGAATTTCATCTGCCATTTTTCAGACCATTCGAAAAAAATGTTTTGCTCCACCTTTACCCAATAAAGTAACAACCACATCTCTAACTCTCACTAAGCGCAACATAACCATAAACTTGAACCCTTAAATCGGTAAAATTGTCGTTTCGGTCATCCAACTATTTTAAGTTGTTCAAAACACAAAATAACCATTGGAAAAACATAAGTTCAATCTAACATAACCCATCCAAACCTAACTTAACCTGACCTGACCTTAACTTAAGACCCTATCAAATTCGCTGAATGACCTAAACTATAATACAGTACCCTTAAATCAGCAAATCTTAATATCTGTGATGGCATACAAGACCTAAAAGAAAAAATACTTGTAAATATTTACTTTTAGATCTTGTGGTGTGAAGTGCTTTAACTTGGTGAGAGGCAGATGAAGGCCCACGGACAGTTTGTCTTATGGCTACAGGTGGTCTGTGCCTGGGCCGCAACACCTGATGCCCAAAAGGCCTTCTACACACCGCTGCCAGGCCATTACGGTAAGCAGTGAGTAGGCCTGGCCAAGCACCAGTGATCATCCTGCACCCGCCGGCTCAACTCTCTTACCATATCATTAACAGCAATTCATCTGTAAGTTCTAACTGATTTCTTAAAGATGCTGTAAGCTACACCATCTTGAAGTGCTTGTCACTCTAGGCTAAGGGTTTGTTGGACAAGGTGTTATCCAGACCACACGACCGGTCACTGTTTGACTTTAACAACACCAACACGCAGACGACACGTGTCCGATACCACACCGGGAGACCTTCACCTTACTTAAACTACATTTTAATTGAGGTTAACACAAATTTTTAGTCAAATTAATTTGAAATTATTTTAAAAATAATTACTAGTTTTTTTTATAAACAGAATACTGCTTGTTCATCTTGACGGTTATATAGTATGAAATATAAGACAGTGACTGAGTAAATCGAACGCAGCCATTGTAAGAGAAGGCCGATATGAGTTAAACATTACAGTATTGTTTGTAATATGATTTTTACCTATTACATATTATTTAAAACCATAGATTACTAGTTTTAATTGTCCCGCTATTGAAGTTTTAGAAAATAGTCTTATAGACAGGAACTACGCAAATTATTTCCTTTGATGACAAACTATATACAGTAGTTTAAGAACGAAAGTTGATGCGAAATTATTTGGTCTTAATAAAAATTTATATTTAGTCATCCAGATGGTGTTCTTAGGGCCAACATTACTTAAATTTGCACATGAGGATAGATGAAGTGCCATTTCTTGGTATTTATTTTTCAAACTACAATATTGTCAATAGCAAAATGTATTCCTAAGCAGTAGGAATGGTTAAACTGTAAATGTCTATGAAAATAGTCTATGATAGGTTCACTAGGTGACGAGATAAGGAGACTTGACACACACACACACACTGCTGTTGCCAAGCTGGGTATGGCGGTCGGCGTCTAACCTAAATAGCCTTACAAGAGTGCAGATCTTTCTACAAATTAGGTAAAATAAACTACAGTATCTTTGATCGTGTCCATTCAGACTAACATGCAGTATGTCTGAATGATGGTAATTCTGCTTTAGATAAATCCTAGAAAGTAAGACCGGCATCAAAGATGCTAAATTTTGATAAGGTCAATTTCTCAAGACATTTATCAGCAATATTGTAAACCCTTTAAGGAGTACAGTAGTAATGCACATATATGAATTATAGTGCAGCACTTACGTTATTTTATTCTGGCTAACGCAAGACAAATTTTATTAGCTGTACTTTTTCACTTTATCCTCTTCGCCACTGATGGCTCCAGGATATTAGTCCAGTCAGGCTTTGCACTAACACTTTCGGAAATAAGTTATGGTGCTTGAAGTTTGACACAATTGTTTAACAGTTAGACATCAAAGCTTTCAAATTCACTTAGTGAATTTGAAAGTGAATTTCACGGTTAGACTTGATTTAGAGGAGTCGCCTGCTGGGGGGAGGGGGGGGTCCTTGTCCAAAATGGCCGTCAGTACACATGGGAAAACTAGTGTTCAATGCATTCACACTTTATCCTAACCTACTTAGTCAGAAGTATGTGCAATATGAGATTGTGGGGCAAGGGCGGATCCAGGTATATCAAAAGGGGGGTCCAAGAAGTTGTGGGTGGGGTAACATGGCGAGCGCAGCGAGCCCACCCATTTTTTGGGGGGTGGGGGGGTCTGTAAGTCTCCCCCTTCCCCCCGAATATTTTGTTTTGAAATTTGAGGCCATTTAGAAGCCATGCGCACATGATATTACGTTTACTTTTATTCTCTTCACCACTGATCGGCTCGTTAGCCGCTTGGGCGATCGGTCACGTCTCTGATTGGCAAGTACTGGGTGTGCACTGGCTCCTGAATGTATCTGAACCTGCTCCAGTGTTTATAAAGACTGGTCTTGAAAGAGCTCACACTCTGTGCCGTCACTACACTCTGGCATATTGTTCCAAGAGTTCACAACTCTCACTCCGAAAATGTTACACCTCAGTTTTTTTGACTTGCGGCTTCTCCAACCTTGAGCATTGACCCCTTGTGGGGCGAGCGTCCGCCAGCTCCAGGTAAGGACTCAATGTGGGTCAGTGCTGTATCAAACCGTCTGTCCTCAAACGCAGGTAGGTTAATCGCATCCTCTCTTGTGAACACGGAAGAAAAGAAACTGTTCAATGCCTCAGCTTTGTCCTGGTCAGAATGTGCGTAAATACCATTTTCAAGCCTCAGGTCCGACACTCCCTACTCGCGTTTTTAACTTCGACTTTGCATAGCGGTTAAACGCCTTTGGGTTTTACCAGACCTCGCTTGCAGCCAGCCTCTGGAACTCCTTTTCAGCCCTTTCTCTGACATTGATGTAGTCAATGAGATGCCAGTGTTTGGATCGTGGGTGTTGCCACGAACCCTTGAACAATGCGTTTATCATCATGAATTTGACGGTGATTCTATTGTGTTATGCTTATCATAGGAAAGGGAGGGAGGAATGTGGGTGAGGAGTGAAAGGAAGATTTGACATCGACGGAAGAAATATTTTAAATGGAGGAATTAATAATGAATTGACAGGCTATGATGAAGGCAAGGGGAGGAGGAATACAGGGAAAGTGGAGTGATATGGTACAGGAGGGTGGAGGGATTATTTGTCAGGCACTAGGGCGCTGGGTGGAGGGAATATTTGACAAGGAAGGTAAAGGGAAGATTTGGCTGATAGGATGGGCAGATTATATGATAGGGAGAAGGTGGGGGAATATCTGACAGCAGAGGGGATAATTGGCAGGGTGGATTCCATGTGTAGAGGGATGGTTGAATAGGGAGGATGGATCGAAAGGACAAAAACAGAGAATAAAACGAGAATGGGAAAGGGAGAAAAGAAAAAGGAATGAGAGAGAGAGAGAGAAAGCAGTATAATCATTCATAATCTGCCCAGGCGATAAGCATCTATCAGGAAGATAACGCAGATATCAAGATGACTTTGTTACTGATTGTACAGGATGACCTCTTGTGTTTACTGATTGTATTAGGATCACTTGTATTTACTGCTTAAACATAGGAGCTTTAGAGAAATTAATGTAGAATATATGTCATACAACATGGAATGTTCTTCGTATATAAAACACCTCTGATGTAAGAAAAAATATTAACTCAAACTAATCAAAATAATCCGGAGAGAGTTATACAAGTATAAGAGAGCAAAAACAAATCTTAATGTAAGAAAATTATAAACAATTTATCACAGTTACGTAATCAGAATGAACTTAGGAAATTCATACAAAATCTAAGACCTAAAATACTTCAGTTTGAGCGGTATTCATGAATATAGACAACATGCAATACCGATTAACAATATTCAAAAGAAACCAATTCACACAAGTTCGTATGTTAAAATATACTCACAAACCAATGATGATATGAAGAGACGTACTTCACTTGGCTCATGAAGGATATCACAATGCAAACGTCCAAAATGATGTCGAAATCCCAATGATACACTGCAGAAACGAAATATGCTCTAGTACTGTATAGCTCTACCTATTATAAAGAAAACTGATGATCGTTTTGAAAATTCGACACAAGATTCTTGTATCTGCCCCTCCAGCACTAGCAGCCAAACAATGCTGGATAACATACAAGCGTGCTTCAAAAATCATAAAATATTGTGTTGTAGGATTCGGTGGTAGGACGCACGAGTTAAGATAGACTGTGGGATACGACTTGTTTGGGTTCACACTCAGGATGGGATGGAGAAAGGAAACTCACAATGTGCTCCCTGTATACATATTGTATTGGATGTATAATGCAGCTTGGTGCTGGGAAGGCAGCATGGTTACAAGCGTTGAGTAGAGAGAGCTGGTTGGCGAGGGTGGTCAGAGGAGGACCAGCTTGTGGGTCGCCATGCTCGCCGGCGGGAGCGAGGGCCGCCAGGCAGGATGAGGAGGAGGTGTTGCTGGCTGGTTGGTGTAGGTCGAAAGAGAGAGGTCACCACGAGGTCAGGTCTTATATAGTGGAGGTAAGCGTGGCTTAATAGTTGACCTCCGTCATGTAAGGCGGCGCTGGTTGACCTAGACCACGAGGCATACATGGAGGAATTCGCGGGGTCGGCCACTCAGCGACAAACAGCGTTTGTAGGGGAGGTATCCACTACAAGACAATAGATGAATCAGGTATATAATTCAATTCATATACTGTACTGTCTATCTTAACTTGTGCGTCCTGCCACCGAATCCTACAACACAATATTTGATGATTTTTGAAGCATGCTTGTATGTGTCAGTCATTTCCATATATATATATATATATATATATATATATATATATATATATATATATATATATATATATATATATATATATATAATTAATAAATATTGAAGTGATAACCTTGGTAACATTATGAGATGTTCTTATTACCACCATGCTATTGTAGTATTCCAGATAATGCTAAATGTTACATAGTACTTCCTTGAGATAAATGTATAGTATATATCAGGTGCCTAAAAGAGAGCTCAGGTTCTCAACTGGCTCAGCCATGTTAATATTGTTATTATTATCCACTTTGCATCTGTGTTTTTCTGGCTAAATAAACTTTCAATTCATTTCAAAATGAGCCAACTCAACTTTGTTGATGTCATCCTCCTAGCCGAGACCGCAAGTGTTACCCGCCACTGGTGTTAAATTATGTAATGATACTTTTAGCTTTTTTATGATACACATTTTCCCAGAGAGAGATACATTAACCTGCGTTCTATCAACCTGGCAGTTGATACTCGTTATCAAAACTAATTCACTACTGTACTGTTGACTCATAATAAAAATGAATTAGTCTAAAAAGAATACGTTTTTGTGTTATGTAAGGAACGTTACGAAGTCGAGGAAATTTAATTATATTAATTACAAAAAGATCGATTACAGTATTTGACTGACAATAAGAGGCGCAAGCCGATCAGTGGCGAAGAGGATAAAAAAAAAAAATATAGCTTGTAAGATTATCACGAGACGCGCCTGTGAGTCACTGCACCCGTCACATGACCGTCCCCCAGCCCGGCTCCATCAGCTGACACCACAGCTTCACGACGCACTAGCTCACTGTCCTGCCACCAGAAGGGAGGACGCATCTGCACCATGAGACATTTAATTTTCCTAGTTATTGTGGCTCTTGCTACTGCGGAGTTACCCAGGTGAGAGAATTATATCTTTGTGTGGAAAAGGTTGGAGATGTTAAATAGATAACGTACTGTTCATTGCTATGGTAACTGTATCCAGGGAAGTACTGTACTGTCAACAAACATTCCTGGTGTTTTCCATTATTTCACTTCTGTTTGAGACTACAGTATACATAATAGATTTTATAGTCGCTAAAAACATTAAGAAAGATGCAGTATAGTGGTTGTCACACTGATAGTCGTAAATTTAACAAGGGTATTTTGTAGATGTTTATTGGTGACCAACCCAAGTCCACATGAGTACACCCAGCACTAGTACCCTTTGGCTCCCAGGTTAGATGCATAAATGCCTCTCTCGGGTGGCTTGAATTTCTTCCCCATATAGACCTGTAATGTCTTAATGAGTACGTATTTAGGGTCAAACTTACAGTATCTTAGAGGTGTATAGTGGGGGTTAAGGAAGTACAGAGTGAGCCAGTTTAGCAAAGCTGGATTTTTGTTGAACTAAAAAGTTAAAACTCTCAGACAAGATTTCCAGTTATTAGATCTTCAGAGCACACTAGGGAGCAGAACAGGTGGGGGGGTTACATTTTTTTTTAGGTCCAGTAGTTTATTTAAGATTTAGAGTTTTACAGTACAGTACTGTACAGGTTACAGTACTAATTTTGGTAATGTCTGAGAACAGCACTACCACAAGAGGTAGTAGTTGTTGTTGTTGTTGTTGTTCTATTTTGTTAATTTTTTCCACAGATGCTCATTGTGATTGTAAATAATAAAAACGAAACAATGCCCATAACCTAATAGAACCTGGCCTAAGCCAACCAAAGAAACCGAACTAACCCTACTTAACTTCCGAGCCAGAGGGCTATGTCCCCAGACTCCCCACCATAGTAAACAGAGTGTACTTATTTTGATGTCTGGCACAGTACCAATGAAAGCAACGTTGTTGAAGCATCATAGTGTAATTTTACGTTTTTTGTGGATGTGAGAGTATGCTCGGCCTGAGTGGGTCTGTTGTTAACAAACAGACAACATGTGACTCGGCAGATTTTCCGAGGAGTATTTATGGTAACCAATTAATTCATTCACATACAAAGCATACAGAGACATAATTTTAGTGTCATTTGATCAGTTTTTCACTGTTTTACCCTGCAATTTCCATCATCATTCATGTTCTGTCCACTACAGGTGATTTATGATTGTAGATATAGAAAAAAAAATACAATTAAAATAAACAGTTGCTGCCCCTTTAACATACTTGCTATAATGATAAAAACATGTGTTAAATGAATGAAATTAAAAAACTATTCTGGTGGTAGTGCTGTTCTCAGAAATTACCTTGATTTTTAGTGTACAGTACAGTACATGTACTGTATTTGTAAATTCAATTACCGTACTTTATAAATGAAGCATGTTGCAATACTGTACCACATAATATCCACAAATTCAGTTGAAAATATGAATTGATCATTTTTTCTCCCCATTAGGATCCCTCTTCATAAGATCAAGTCTGTCCGCCGTACTCTACAAGAAGTTGACACTGCTGTGACTCGGGCACACCGAAAATGGGGAAATCGAGGACCAATGCCAGAGCCTCTTTCAAACTACATGGATGTAATTTTTTTTTTTTTTTTTGTTGAATTCTTATTCAGTGCAGTATTTAAATTAGGATGATTTGGTTGGTAATACAGGGAACGCCCTTTGTATGTCAATTTATAGAAAACTTTTGTTTACAGGACTGCCCGGTAACCACCAAATTCCACTCCATCATGCACTTCTAATACAAAAAGAATGTAATATCCACCTTAGTCACCAGGGTTTATGACATTAGCTCAGATTACTGTAAACTTCATCTAGAATTACATTCCCTTAGGAAAACATTAAATCTCAATGGTTTCTTGCTTAACTTCATTGATACTTACAGAGTGAAACAACTGCAAATTACTGCACATTTGAAGATGCATTAACTTTTGCTAAAGAAATACTGTATGCAGTAAAGGTCCTACTAGTGCCCCTGGTTTTTAAGTACTGTGCAGATAGTACAGTAGTGTACCTGTATATCTTAATTTATTTTTTTTCAGTTTTAGTATAAATACAGTGTAAAGACTTAATTATTTTATTTTATTTGTTTTTCAAAATCAAAGGGAAATTTACTCAAATGTTGATTGTTTTCAGGCACAGTACTATGGACCCATTTCCATTGGCACTCCCCCACAATCCTTCAGAGTGGTCTTTGACACAGGGTCCTCCAATCTTTGGGTGCCTTCCAAGCAGTGTCACTACACAAATATTGCCTGTAGTAAGTAATAACAACTGTTCACTGATCTTTATTTGTGAAGTTCTTTTGACCGATAAGTCAGAGTAGTTTAGCAAAATATATTTTGTAAGCTTTTGTAAAATGTTAAGAATATTCTGGATGCTGGCATGAAAAACCATTTTATTCCCATATTTGTACAGCATGTGGCTAAATTTAAAGAGTTTACATTGCTCATGTCTATCATTGAAAAAGTTGGTCATTTCCATCCTGTGTGTGTGTGTTTGTGTACCTCCCTCTGGGGTAGGAACTCCAGTTGTCCTCCTACCTTCAACCATTCCTTTCCAGTTCATTATTGAAAACTAAATGAGAGATATGATGTGTGTTATTTTAACATTGTAATGGACAAGGACAATAAATGATGAATACAAAGGAACAAAGGCAAGTTTGAATTATGTTGCTCTTATCATATGTTTTGCTTGTTGTAAGAAGGGTTTTGGATGACCATATTCAGTTTAGTACTGTACTGTCATACCATAGTGGAAGCAGTAGTAGCAAATCCTAAACTTCAGGGACTTGTGGAGGGAAAGTGGGACAACTCACTAGTGCATACTGTATACAGTATAGTAATGACAATTATAGAGCACTTAAAAAAAATTACATATACGTCACCAACTTTTGTGTTTTTATTCTCTGGAAGGTAGTACAGTACAATACTGTACTTAACATGTTTGTAGCAAATTGATAACATATGGTACGGTACGTAACACTTGATAGTGGACTCCAGTGGCAGGATACAGGGGATGGAACACGTGATCATGAGAAGCCACAAAAGTTTTCTTCGTGTATTATAGTTTATTTAAAAGAGAAAAGTAGTAATTCTAAGTGTAAGGTGCTACATATAGTAACTGCAAAAATTAAAACGTACAGAGATATGTTAAATAGTAAGTAAAAGATATGATGTAATTTGGAGCTGTGACAGTAACTTGTGTGGCTTCCAGTGTCTGCACTTGGTATTGATTTTGGCTGAGTGTGGCCATGTAAGGAGTTCTGTATACAGTTGTTAATTTTTTTCAGCCTACATACTGTACTACAGTACAGTATACTGTATATGATTTACCTAAAAATACAAGTACAGTACTGTATATTGTACTTTGACTATAACACTAAGTATATTTAAAAATAATCATATTTTTAAAGTGGTGTACAATACTGTAATCATTTGGATTAAGCATACTCAACATGTATTAAATGATATTTTCAAAATGATGAAATTCATCCTAAAACAAGGTTACTTTAAGTTTGGATTCTAGAGAAGGCGTAACCTTAGTGGCATGACTCACATCCTGTACTGTACTGGATTGACAACATGTTTACTGTGGTTAAAACGATTCCTTGGGACATAATTAATATTTCTGAAACCAAGACAGAGATGTGGGTCAAGTACTGTGTACTGAATACTTGTTGGCTTGGAAAAACTTATATTTTTTAATAACCTTAAGCCGGGAAATGTTAATGATACAACTTTGATAACTGCAATGCTTGAATTTCACCTCGAGTGCAGTCTACTTTTCTTGTGCAGTAAACCTCTGCTTTCCAGTGCAGTATTACGCTATTTGTGTATCATGTTTGACAATTCTTAGGCAAGCGAATTATGGAATTACAATTTATTTTATCACTGGGATGTTTGAATTATTTAAGTCAGTGACTTTGTATCATCTCACTGAGGAATTGAGGTTTCATTTTCACTCTTGGCTGCAGCTATCTGGGTGTTTTGATCACATCAAAATTAGTGTTCCCCAACTTGAAATTTAGTTACAAAATATTTGTTTAATTTCAACTTGTAACATATACGGTAAGAACAAGAAAATGTTTTTATAAACATCTCGCATTATTATTCTTCAAATAATAATAATTTCTCACCAGCCAATCAGTCGGCTGGTTTTGCATAAAGTAGTTTTAGCTTTCCTGCCTTTTTTATACAGTATTGTTTTCTACTGTGAAGGAAAGTCTGCTCTATAAAATTTCTTATACGTACTGTATAATAATTTTACTGTCTTTATTCCAGTGATTCACAATAAGTATGATGCACGTAAATCTTCAACATATAAGAAAAATGGAACTGATTTTGCCATCCAGTATGGGTCTGGTTCACTCTCAGGATATTTGTCCACTGACACTGTAGCAGTAAGTATGAATGTCTTGTTTTTAAATGGCCAAGACTTTTGGTATATATAATAATTTTTTTGTTTTTTTTTCATAAGCACATTTACTGTACAATACTACAAAATTCAGGTCAGGCATTAGCTGTTGTAAAGTTTGCCCATGGAAATAGTGAAAAGACTGAACATATTCATTCAGTGCTATTGGGGTCAATGTGATTCAAGGCTTTCCAAGCAATGTTACTCAACTCGTTTCTGAACGGTTTGTAGTTCTACATCCGTGACCTTTGAGCATGAATGAGTAAGCAAGTTTTCGAATGATACATAATTAATATAGCTTAATGGATTTTTTTTTATATTGAAGTATCTAGTATACCATACAAGGATGACTCCCTCCCTCAATCCTACCCCTATCTCTAGCTGATATGGTGAGCAGGCATACCAATTTATGATGACGCACTGGGGATCATATCAAAGCATTTCATCTCACTTTTCAAATTGTAGCAGTATACAGTAATATCCCTGATAACCAGTACAATTGGTGTAGAATATTTCCATGTTTGAGAGATTTCTGGGCATTGAGAAATTAATTTCCCTGAAAAAAATCTTAGAACAAAGGATTTACAGAGTTTTCTGGCCATTGGTGACAGTTTCTGAGTCTAAACTACGCAACTGGCATGGAGCACCGTTGCAAAGGATGCTTCACTGCAATCGGACAGCCACAGAGCTGTATTCATTTTATTCATTTATGCAAACACTACTATATACGTGAAGTAGATTGTAAATAAACTAAATATACCACTGTATACACTATACTGTACACTCCAGCAAATCCTGTCTTATTGAGTTTGTGATACAGGCAAGCCAAATGCTGATATAATACAGAATTGCCTGCATTTGTCCTGTACCATGCACCAGGTTTTCTTTGACATATTTCACATCATAAATGGTAGACATATCCACTCCATATTCCCCCATTAACACTTTTACAGGCATATGTTTTTCTAGTTTGATCAGAATGTCTAATTTTTCTTTTATGGTCGTTTGTTTTTGCTGTGCCTCTCCTCTACCCCTTGGTGCTACTGTTTTTATCTGGAGCTTTCAGCATTGCACACATGTTGTATTCTGTACACACCCTCTACAGTCTACACCATAACCTACATTAGGCTTACACTGTTCACTCTACTATGTACAGTACTGTACTTGTACACTTACTGAATGTACAGTACTGTACAGGTGTACCCTGATAACCAATGCATATAAGGACCAGGAAAAGGCGTTGGTTAGTGAATCAATGATTATCGAAGCAATTAATCCCATAAGAGCATAAAAAATTCAGTGGGCTACGAACTGGCCAACGTCCCAAAACTTCCATCTACCTTTGATACAGTACATCTTTGTCGTACACACTATCAAGCAAGAAAATAAAGCAGACAAAGCAAACATAATAAGCCTTAACCCTTACGTCTCGGGTGACACTCCAGAACGCCAGACTAGCGCGCCCCGGGTGACGTTCCAGAATGCTCGCCTTTTCCCACCACTGTTTAAATGCCAGCCCGGGTTATCAGGTTTCATGGTGACTATTTGCCTGTCACGCCACAAGCTCGGTCACAGGGAAACTTCCTGAACGTAATTATCTACCTTTGTTTGTTTCACTTTCATTGTTTGTCCATTTTATCATGTTGTATCAAAGTCATATTGCTAAAAGAAGTTTAGTTGTATTGTAGTGTAGTATTACTGGAAAATACTGCTATGGTTATGTTATAAATGTATTTAATTGTGGAATTATTATTTTATGCATTACTTGCCGAGTACCGGTACTTTTTATGAAAATAATGCAAATAAAATATTCTAAATGAATTATTTATAGCAAATAAATATTATGATCAGTAAATATGTGTATTATTGGCCACCTCGGATACAAAGGTAAGCTACAAATAGCTGGTAAGTGAGTAGGTGACCACGAGCTGAGCTGACAAAAAACAACAGACTCCTGATATCCCTTCACATATATATAGATGATGTTAGTGCAGTATAGTTATGTTGACAGAAGATTATAAAATACTTGGAGATGATTCAGATGTTGTTTATGTATGAATATGGCCACAGCCTGTTAGATAAAAAAAAATCCCTGTGAAGCTGATTATGAGAGTGACCACATAATTTTAGGGTTAAGTACTAGGTGCTTAGTATTATTCAAGGTACTAAATAGGTACTCAAAATTACCCCAGGTGATAGGGGTAAGCCTTTCCTCTGATGACCCTAGTGTTGCTTTTCAGGTTGGTTCTTTGGCTGTGAGGCAACAGACTTTCGCAGAGGCTTTAAGTGAGCCCGGTTTGGCTTTTGTTGCTGCAAAGTTTGATGGTATTCTTGGAATGGGATTTGATAACATTGCTGTGGATGGTGTCACTCCAGTTTTCTACAATATGGTCAAGCAGAGCTTAATACCTGCTCCTGTCTTCAGTTTTTATCTCAACAGGTATAAAATTAGGAAACTTTGCTGTTGACTGGGAGAAATTTTGAAAGCATAATAAATTCATGTCCATGACAGCTTGGAATATTAATTTTTTTAATGTTGGAATACACGGAATTTGAATTGTGTACCGGTATGTGCTTTTTCATCCTCTGGCCAATTTTGCCTTAGGGTATCATCTGCAGATCTTTAGTATTCACTAGAAACTTGTCAGTGCTTTTGAGTTGCTTGTGTGTGGCCTTGCAAAAGTATTTCAATGTCGGTTAATATATCAGACAATCAGTTAATTGATTTTGATGAACTGTGGTTGATGGGACAGGACTTTAGTAAAGAAATTACTTAATTTGGATATAGTAGGTCACAGGTTTATAGTTAATTTTCTTTCTTTATAGGGAGTTTAGAAATATTTAAAGGTTTGTATTTTTAAACCTTGTATAAATTGGTTTGAACTTTCTTTCAAAGAGACCCATCTAGTCCTGAGGGTGGGGAGCTAATCCTTGGTGGCTCAGACCCTAATTACTACTCTGGAAACTTCACCTACATACCTGTGGATCGCAAGGGCTACTGGCAGATTAAGATGGATGGGTAAGTATGAGTAGTTAGTATTTTGCACTCTTTTGCTTTTCCTTGGGTGCCCTGTCACCCAAGGAAATTCCTATTCCCTTTAATGGAGTGGATGAAGTGGGGTTGTGATTTTTAGAGAAAAAATAAGACTTCTGTAATACATTGTACACCATATATTGTTGTGTCCTGTTTCATGTTTAAATGCACCAGTTGATATTACTGGACTGAATATGGAACACACCTTGGATGGGCCCCACTGATCGGGAAGGTTGTGGACCCCAGGGCAGACCTGATCACCATCAAACTACTGGGGCCTCAACTGATGTCATCGCAGTTACTAGAGGATTGTCTTTTTTTTTTACACTTCATTTTTCCAACATTTGTGGCCTGAGATCCAATTTTCCTTCTGTGAAGTACCATATATTACCTCTTCCCCCGACCTCTTACTACTATCTGAACTTCAACTGACCAAATGAGCTTCACCCAAACCTTTTCAAGTCTCCAACTACAACGTTATACCTCTTTCCATTCTAATGGAAGTGTATGCACCGACTGCAACACACGTACACCTATAGCTCGACTCAAGGATCTTGAATCTTCTCTTTATGATGTCATCTGGCTCAAAACATTTCTACCAACTATGACTATTTTCTTTGTTTCTTATACAGTTCTCCAAACTCTGCCAATTATTTGGAGCTCTTTGACTATCTCACTTCTTGCTACGAGTTGTTGCTATCTACACACCCTAACAGAGGGATCCTCTACCTAGGGAATTTCAATGTACATCACAGAGAGTGGCTTCGCTCTGCAAAGGATGACCCAGGTGGAGCCGAGGCACTCTTTCCTTGCTTAATGATCTATAACAAATAATTAAACCCCCTACACGTGTTCCTGATCGTCACCCATCAACTTATAACATTCTTGATCTTTGTTTTACCTCTAACCCCTCACACTATTCATACTCAATTTCTGCACCCTTATGGTCTTCTGATCACAATCTTATTTCTATTAAATCAAACTAGGCACGACCGCATTCCCCACCCCCCTTCTAAACGTCAACTATGGCACTATCGGAGGGCAAACTGGCAATCCTTGCGAGAATTCTTCTCTGACTTCCCTTGGGATGAATGTTGCTTTTCCACTCGGGACGCCTCAGTATGTGCTGACAGCATTGCTGGGGTTATACTGGGTGGTATGAGGGCTTTTATCCCATCTTCTACCAAAACTTTCACTTTGCAATTATGGTTTGATCGCTCCTGTTTCCGATTATTTGCGAAAGGAGTTTCCAATTATTTATTTGTATGTGTTTTGTGTGTCTACACACAAACACACATTTTTACAATACAGGTAAGGGAAATTACTGTCTCTAGAACAAATGGCTCCCTGTCCCAGCTGCAAAAATGATGGCAACTTTAAAACTACCCACAGACATTCTTGGGTACATCCAGGGTGTCATCCGAGAATAACCGAGAACCACAAAGTAAAAATCTGCCAACTTGGGGGGCGGGAGCTGTACTCTATAGTAACAAGCCAGCCTCTTCTCTAAGAGTGAAATATGGTACCACTGTGAGGTGGTGGCACAGGTATGGATTGGCAGCAGCATTTCTCCCAGATGATCAATATTTGAATTTCAAACGTCAACTTCAGTCATCATAAATGTATTATCATATGACTGTACATCTTTGGTTATCAATACTTGGTATATTTTGTTGTCTTATTCTATTAAGATTTTTTTTAACTGGGAATAGTCCACCCGGGCACAGGTTCATTGACCCACAACGGGGCTTATGGGGCAAAAAAAAAAATAAGAGTAAAAAGAAATTTAAAAGAAAAAGATTATATTAATCTACACCACGAAGATGCCGGAAAACCAGCTTTTTAAGTGAGATAGATCGTATGAGTATGGAAACACAGAAGAAGGCAGAGAATTCCACAGTTTGGCTGTGCGAGGAAAGAAGGATGCACTATAACGGGTTATTCTAGTGTGACCGACATCCACAGAGAAACTGTGGGCACCACGGGCAAGACGTGTGTTACGAGCCCATGGCCTTGCCGCCGGTACACAGGATGCCAAATCCACCGAACATTGCCCACAAAACTCTCATTTTTAAGCTTGCCAGCCATTTTAAAGTGAATTACAATATTTGTATAACGCGACTTGTTTGCTATAACGCGATTTTTGCTTACTATTTCTCCAATTTTGTGGTATTAACTGTGAATATGGTAAAGAAGAATATCTCCAAAAAGCTGATGATAGAATTCCCGGTGATTATCGTAAAAGAAAGGATATAACACTTGAAGAGAAGCGATGTTATCAACCTCAAAATCACCCTTCTCCCCCATCAAGTTACATTCATATTTTTTCAAGGTAAAGTGTTAAATTTACTGTATGATTTCATTATTAGATATGAATGTAACATTTATTTAGACTGTGCTATCCTTTGTGTTAGGCTAACTACTAAATTTTTTCGATTTCGAGTAATCTGCACCTAACCCTATTTTCTCCATAAGCCCTGTTATTTCTATTACGCGATTTTCTATAACACGATATTTTACAAGAACACAATTATCGCGTTATAGCAGAACTACCTGTAGGTTGTAAGTCGAGGAGTGGTTGTACTTTATGTAAAAGAAACACACTGCACATGTCTCGGTACCTTTACTGTCTCATTTTCCTCATCCCATCCATCATTTTCTTTATCACACAACATTTCAAATTCATATTCACTTATAACTGAACTAATGCTATTTTCTTCAGTAATCATAATTTCAATTGATATCAATGATTACCACCAATAAAAAGTTCTTAGTTGTGCACAATTCAAATAACACAATGGCTAAAATAACCCTGCCTTCTCACTTTCACACCTGCAGCGATTCGAATTACTGAATACTGTACACCTAAAAAGTAGATAAATCCAGTATCTTTTGTCCTATCTTCTCGTTTATTGGTTGATTTTGGCTATGGTGTAACAACATTCCAGACTCTGACGGCGATGATAACACTGGCCGAGCTGCTGCAGGCCAGCCAGCTTTCCCAGGCGCTTGCATTGTTTACGACTTTACATCACATTCGTGTAAACTTTGACAAAATCCAGGTGCATTACCTGAATATACCGTAACTGCATTTTTAACAACAAATATTACAAGTAATTGCTCTAGTAATGTTTGTAAGAAACCATAGTTAACACAAAGATATTTTAATGTTTTGATAGGTGGTGGTATGACTAGTATAAACACTGACCTTAGGCCGAGTTCATTAACAGTTATCCTTCTGGAAAAATGCCAGTTAGGTTAAAGTTGTTTGTGAGTGCTGGAAATTAAGTGACAGTATGGTAAAGTGAAAATCTAATGTTTGTGGTGGAGCGTACTTAGAGGTTGATATTTTATACCTGTTGTATAAGATATCTTCTACTGGGTGGCGAGTCGGCCAGTCAGGCAATCTGGCGACAGAATTACGTGCCACATCCTTGAATATTATTCTTCCTTTAGGATATTATTTCTCGTTTTCCCTTCTTTTAGTGTTCTTTTTCACCTAGCGAATGGGTTTTCAGGGACGCATCCTGATCGCTAAATGAGGGATACCTATAAAGGTGAAATTTGTTTAGAATGTATAATTGTATACCTATCATTTGTTCATTACATGGATTATAAAGATTATGGGAATTTATTGTCTTCTAATTTACCAGGATTCAGATGAATGGGGCAAGGGTACCTTTCTGTGAAGGTGGATGTGAAGCCATAGCCGACACAGGAACCTCCCTGATTGCTGCACCAGTAGAGGAAGCTCGTAGTATAAACAAGAAGGTACAGTACAGTTATCACTACATGTATTGTACAGTATTATACTCCATGTCATGATATCACTTCAGCAAGGATGCCACCCACTTAAATAAAAAAAATCAATACCTACTTTATTTATGTACAGTACAGCTTTGCCCCTAGGACAGTGTAGCATGCCCAAAGAAATATTAGGCGCAAAATTTTAAATATGATGCGCCAGATACTCGCGCAAAATAGGAAATATCCGCTTTAAATTGAAACATTGTCCTTAATTGTGGGTGTCGCTTTAAATCAATAATCTTAAATCAATTTGCGTTAAATCGACGTTCTACTGTACGAGTTTAAGCAAATTCATTTGTACAAAGAAATTAGAAAAAGTTGACAGTGGAATCTAATAATATTTATCTAAATTGTAAATAAGTACATACAGTACTGTATGGTGTAAATACAGTGGTCTCCAACCTGGCACGTAAACCATATTATGGAGCCCAACGGATTTATTAGAAAATTTTGAATTATTTGGGATTACTGTAAGAGTGAAATTAATGAAAATATGTAATAACTTGATACAAACTTTATATGTAGCTCATTTTAAGAATGATGCATAATCCAAAATTAATATAAAGAGTATGTAACTCGTAACAGTAGGACTTGTAAAACTTCAAATAACTGTATACTGTATATGATATTTTTTTCTTGAATGTGGATCCTAAGTTTTGGCACCCTCCACTATACTTATATTGATAAATGTGGCCCAGAGTCTACAAAAGGTTGGGGAACATTAGTATAAAAGAACTCTCACAGGAGAAAGAACTCTTAATATGTAGGGCTTCTTTGAACAACTCGGATCATATATTTTAAAGTTTTTAGGATCATTTTCTATATTTGTTTTCTTTCAGATTGGTGCAAAGCCAATTGCAGGTGGAGAATGGTCAGTGGACTGCAGTCTGATCCCTCACCTTCCAAAGATTTCATTTGTTCTCAATGGACAGCCTTTCACATTGGAGGGCAAAGATTACATTCTCAAGGTAAGTACTGTATGAGGATTCATGTCTTGAACATTTGTCCGAAGTAACTTAACAATCCCACCAAGGAAACCCTAAAGCCTTTGCACCCGATATGTAAGTCCAATGATATCACACTAGCTTGTGATGTAGGCATGTATTAGCCCCTGTCAAACAGATAGTAATACAGTAAAACTTAGTAATATCCCCCTAAACCTTGATAAAATGGACTTAAATATTTAAATATATCAGAATTCTCTTTTTCCAGACTAGAGATGCTCTGGTCACTAGAAATACTTAAAAAAATAAATAAAATAAATAAAAGGGGAAAATGGAATATTTTTTTTTATGAAATGAACAACACTTACTGAATACTGTACAGTGGTCTAATCAGATTTGCTGTAGACCTACTGAGAACTAAGACACGAGTATGTAAGCTGGTTGGGGCTGATCAGGTGCTGCCACATTCGTCAGGTTTGTTTATTTATTTATTGATTCAGTATTATATTCTCATGATTGGCCTCTCTTAGGGTTTATGGTTCATCAAGATTAATACAACATCTTCAGTAATAGAAAAAAATACAATACTGTATGTAATATGACTTGAAAATGAAAGGATAATGTGTATCAGAAGGTTATTTACTTAAGATGCATTCGTGTGAAAGCTTTCAGTAGACCAGCTTACAACAGGCATTACTATAACACAGTGTACGTATAGTGGTTTTAACATTAAGCGGATCCAGCGGTAGCACATGCTTTCAGAGAGCAGCTCAAACATGGGCTGATAAACAACCCGACAACAAATAACCCAAATTCCAGTGCCGAATGGTATTTTCTCGACATTGTCATGACAAAAACTTGCAGAGACCCTCGGCCAGATCGAAAGAATACACCAGGATTGGTTTGATGAAAATGACCCGGCAATCAATGTACCCGTCGATGATAAAAGTGCTGCATTAACTGACTGACAGAACAACCCTCGGTCTCAGACCAAAGCAGATGCCTTCCACAAGAAGAAAGCGGTTGCCCAGCGGGAACTTTGCAATCTAAAGAACGACTGGTTTAAAAATAAAGCATGTGAAACAAAAAATAGCAGATCAGCACAAGATGTACGAATTTTTCAATTCCACCAAAACATTTTATGGGCCAATCACTTGTGGCACAGCCCACCTCCGCTTATCCGATGGTAACAACCTGATTAAAGACGACGAAGGCATCCTTCAGCGCTGGAAAGAGCACTACCATTCACTGCTCAACGGAAACACCAATGTGGATGTCCTGACTACCCAGCTGGTCCCTCAGCATCCAGTGCTCACCCACCTCAGCTATCCTCCATCCCTGGATGAGGTAGCTACTGCCATCAAACAGATGAAAAATAACAAAGCCTCAGGGCCTGATGGAACCCCAGGCGACGTGTATAAAGCAGGAGGACCTCTGCTTACCAGCCGTCTCCACTCTCCTGGAGAATATATGGGAAAAAGAGGAAATCCCCCCCCTCCCACATATATTCGCTTTTTTTGGACTGGGATCTGCCCTAATTAGTCCGATTTATCGAGGTTCAACTGTACTTATATAAAAGTGGGCTACATACATTGTTTATATAATTCCATCACCCATGGTAACTAGACTATGAGCAGCGAGTAGTCATATTGTAATTGTACGCGTGACAGTGTTTTTCCACTGATCGCCCCCACACCTTGAATGTGTGGGTCATCAATTAAGTAGCCGGTTTCTGACCAGTCTGTACCAGTCTCTCGCCCATGTCAAAGGTGTTTTCACGAAGCTCATTATGCATACGCCTCATCCTTTATTAACGCTCACAGCATTAATTATAGTTATATCCTAGTTATTGTGCAGTAATTTATTTTACTATTAAATGGAGAAAGACCATTTGGGTTTCAAAACTTAACCCAAAAACATTCATTTATGTCACTTCTTGTGTACACTCGGAAAAAAAAATACCGTACAGGTGGGGTCCGATGATTTTCCAGCTGAATATTCCTGTTGTATTGCGAGTGTTTGCAGGCCGAAATTAGCTAGTTCATTGATAATATTGAATTACTGTACTTTGTTACAATATGACTGGAGAATGTTAGTATATCCAGAGAAGTTAAACTGTATGTTCTATTAAATGTTCCTCACACCGTGGACTACAGTAACCATGGAAGTGGATGAGTTACCATATAGGAGTGGATTATATGTTTGGCAGAATCAGTGGATATAGTAAAGGTATAAGATTATTTTGCACCCAAATTTTGAATCTATTTGTATTGCTACTTCACTTTGGGCTAATGCCACATTATGTCATTCTTTATTTGTATTGGAAAATATACCAAGCTGTTCCGAAACATATGAATAGCTCCACAGTTTCGCATGTCATCATAATGGAACCCGGCCCAACACTTCGTTTGTAGTGTCAGTTTGTTTTGCTCAGGAATAGTAACGGTAGTTTTCTACCGAGTGTACCTTTAATACTGACTACAGAATCTTCATCAGTGATTACAACAGGTAAACTGAAGGTAACAGGCAGGTCAAATGGTGATGTGATACAGATAACTGAAAATAGTGTGTGTTGTTGCAGTAGCTATTTGAATAATGTATTTTATGTAAATTATAAGTAAGTGTTTTTACTGATGGTTTTCAGGAACTGTTGGCTGTCCGTAATTTTTATGTAATCTAAAGGAAGATGTCTATTTATTCTTAAATTTCTTTGCAGGTGAGTGTGTTTGGAAGGGAAGAGTGTGTTTCTGGATTTATTGGACTTGATGTCCCACCTCCCATGGGCCCCCTCTGGATCTTAGGAGACACCTTCATTGGTCGTTTTTACACAGAATTTGATTTGGGAAACAATCGAGTTGGCTTTGCTATAGCCAAGTAGATGAAAGAGGATATACATACTGTAATGGGTAATGACAAGAAATAGTCAAGTTCAGTTGTAATGACCTGAGCAAATTTAATTTCAACTTTTGAACTAATTAATGTTTGATGCATTAGAAATTATGAATCTACAGCTGGAGTTGTACTGTTTATATATTTGGGAGGTATGATACCTATGTTAGACAAAATACAAAATTGAACATCTCGTACTGCTTGTTGAATGCTGAACACCAATTTATGATGTTGCTACTTGATGTAAAGTATTATCCCAACTTGTGGTATTAATTTATGCATTTACCTATAGTTAATTACCATTGATGAGCAAAGTTTACCACATTCCCTTAGGTTATCACAGTACAGTACATACTGAAGAATTTTAGAATTAACATATATACTGGTGTTTCATGTTAATAATACTCGATGTAATCTTAGAGAACTTGGGTAACTTTTTTTTTTTGCCTTTTTAAATGATTACAGGAATAAATATACCAATATAGCCTTGCCTGACATCACTTGCGTTAAGTTTATTAAAACCTGAGATGTGTCATTCTTTGCTGCCTGCTGTAAATTTTAGGTGGATCAAAATTTTAAGTTTCAATTTGCATTTGCATTGCTAAAGAAATGTTAGATTAATTAAATTGTGATGAAACGTGTAGGGCAACCTTACTACAGTCATTGTACCTCGGATGTGGATTATATCGTATGAGATTTTACTATATGTACTATTAAGGCCATATTGTTATGTTCCGAGTCTTGTAAAGTGTAATGTTTCAATTTCTAAATTTTTCTTTTAATACAAACCAAAAAAATTTGTTTGATCCATGACAAATAATAAAATATATGATATAAACCATAAAAATAAGTTAGCACATTTTATATTCCTGTTATTGAAAAAATAAAATAAGAACTCTGCAATGAAACTTATGGAATAATCCCTTTTGTTGGTGCGACTATTATGGGCATGAACTACAGGTATACTGAAATTAAATTAACTTGGCAGCTATGCCCTGCCCCTGAGCATGACAGGGTGAACATGATTGGTTGGCGGTGGGTGGAGTGCCTGGGAAGTTAAACCCTTCACTACAGGGACACCACTTTTAATTTCTTTCTTGGCTAACACCAGATGATTTTATTCAGCACAGAGGGGACCCTGTACACAAATGGTTAAGTCATATTGGTCACAATTCCCAGATGAAATCCCTGTGGAAACCTTTCTCTTTGTATAATTTAATGGTTATAAACAATATCCTAAGGTTATTTAGATGGTCAAACCAAATACTGAAATTGTGCATTTCATATTAGTCACTTTAAAAATGATTTTTTTTTTCGGGAATTAGCCCACCCAGGCACAGGTCATTGACCCACATCGGGGCCTGGGGGGCGAAAATGTAATAATAATAATAATAATAATAATAATAATAATAATAATAATAATAATAATAATAATAATAAAGAACCACAAAAATACAAAATGAAAAAAAAATCAAAAGTGAGGAACAATATATGTATGTTGTGTTGTTAATAGTAAGAGAACCAATTGAGACCCTGCAATTGTGTGTAAATGAAGCAGAAAGTCAGATCAGCAACCTGGGACTTGGTCACAATTTTCGTGATGCCATGTGGCAGCAAGATCTACCATAGACAACACATTATGCTTCCAATATCTTCCCAGGCGGTAGTACCTCCCTGTTTGGTAGCTGCCTATTACCTGAATTAGACCACCGATTTATCAGTATATCATGTTGTTGGGTTAGGAGTCATGTTGATGACACGGATTCCAGATGAACATAACACCGAAAGTTGATCATCACTTTGTATCACTTTTTACTTTCTCTAATATTTCCATTATTAAGAAGCTCAAAGCACTAATTTTTGCCTCTTCACTTTTGGACATAGAGTATGCCGTATCGGTCAGGTGCGGGTAGTGCCGTGTTGCATCTCTAACAAAGCGTGGTGGCACTTGGGCTTTCGTTGCCGAGCGGCTGCAATTGGACAGTGATTGCGTAAGAGCATCAAGATCGTCTTAGTGATGTGAAACTAAATCAATGTAGGATTTTTAATGTTATTCGCAATTATATATTGAAAAATAACTCTACTGACTGGAGAAATAGGCCAGGAGGTATGCAACCACAAAATCATTGTCATATGACAAGATTTATTCAAAAAATTTTATACGAGTTGCATTCATGGCTGTGATTGACCATCAAAAGGCTGATCAGAGTAGTATTGTGCACTTTAGCTTAGACAGTCCATAGTGATAAAAGGCTGAAAATAAATTGAAGTGAAAAACAAACGATCAGGCACTGGTGCCTGGAAGTAACCAAGACATATTATTGGTGCCACAAAGAAAGTTTTTCTTTTGTGTGTGTTCTCGAAGGCTGTAATTGTGCTTACGATCCACCATTCAAAGGGAGATACAGTGAACATAGTAATAATACATAGAGATAATTCGGTGATGAGAAATGGAAAAGAGAACATAAGTAAATAATAGTTAAAAATAAAACAAAACGAGCCTAACTGTATTGAACGGCATTATTGCCGCCACACAAAGTATTTTTTTCTGTGTTTTCTAGAGGACTGTGATTGTGCAAATGATCCACCATTCATACGGAGATACAGTGTACATGGTGATAGCACATAGCGATATCAACAACTCGTCGAGAAGAACTTAAAAAAAAATTGAAAACAAGTCGAACAGTCTTGGACGGCAACACCGGACGAAAGAGGGTGCCAGCGAAGTCAAGACCGGCAGGGCAGCGTGTTTTTTTTTTTTATAAATAATATTAGTCTGCCACAATACCCTCATCACTCCCACATCTAAGTTCACTTAGATTACAATTAGTGGGTGTGATTATAAAGGAAGTCATCCCAGTGAGGGGTAAATTTCTTCATCAGAATAAAGTGGAAGATTACGAAGGTGACATCATTCCTTTCCCCCCAACACACCAGACATGAGGCCTACTGTGGGAACACTGCCGAGTCGTGGAGCTTTAAAAGGCCATTGACACATACGCCTTGACAGAAAGGCACAAAAGCACTTATCATAGCAACGCTAATAAGTATCATTAAACTAAGTAGAATTAGATCACATCGTAAACTGGGCTTAAGACTTAAGAAGATTCTTACAGAGTCTGGACATCCCCCTCACTAGCTCCCCTCCGGATTGATAATGGCGACAGCTGTCAAGCACTGCATGCCCCATAGGTGTAAGTATATAAAAGGAAGATGACAGTTTGTGACAGGACACGTATAGACTTGGGGAACCAGGGGTTAAAACCCCAGGGTCACCAAGTAGCTTGCCGACATGCAATTACTGCAAGGGGACGGCAAAAAGGTTGTTGCTGTTACTGCCCTGACTGCATAACCAAAGTAACAAGGCTATTGTAGATCATCATAAAGGAATGAGAAACTTAAGAGACGAAAATAGATGAAGCTGGAGCCATGCTGGTTGCCAAACTAGAGCAAACTAAGACGAGGAGGTAACGGCTAGAATGAAGGGAGTAGTGAAGAAGTTTTGCTCAGGCTTTAGCAGGACCACAGAAGGTGACGGAGAGTATTGAAGGATCCGAACAGGTCCTTCAGCAACTAGGGACTCTGCAGAAGTGTGTTGAAAAGATGGCAGCTAGCAGACTGATAGGGGCGAAGAGGAACAATGGGAACGGTTCGAGCGCAGGATCAACATAATAGTGGAGTCCCCGAGAGCCAGTCAGAGGAAGCTGAGAGTAGGAAAACACATGATACGTAGCAGGGCGAGAGCTTTTGTACAGAGCCAGCCAGAGCTCGAGAGAGCCAGCCACGGTTGGCACCCCATCCTGAGACAGATGTACCCCATCCCTAGCATAAAGGTCCCTTCTGCCGTAAAAGTTGTCCCAGTTGTCAATGAATGGGACGGATATTCTCTTGCAATATGTCAAGACGGCCGTTGACACCAACTGTCCTTGACAACCATTCATTACCAACTCTCCTAGGTAGGACACCACATAGGATAGGGATCCCTCCCTTCACCCTAATACAGTCAATAGCTGTCTTGAACTTATCAAGGAGCTCCTCACTCCTACACCAGCAAATATCATTGCCTCCTGCACTGAGGCAGATAATGGGTATGTTCCCATTCCCAGACAAGACATTGTCCATCCTGCCAACTTTATCTTCCACTCCAGCTCCTGGTAAGCACACCCTCATCGTATTTTTATTTCTACCACAAAAAGCTCTATCCAGGTACCGTACCTGGGAATCACCAACAATTAAGGTTTTCATACCTTCTCTGTCACCCCTGTCGCTTTTGTCGTTTCCTTGGTGTCCTTTCTCACCACCAGTTTGGTCATTCCTCTCCTCACAACCTTCCATTCATCTGTCTACATCAGACACAGGCTATCCTTGTCTCATATCTTCTTCCTTCATCCTCACAATCACTTCCTTTAATTTCAAGTTTTCGTCCTTTACCTTCACTAACTCAGCCACTAGCTCGGCTCTCAGAAGGGCACAGCCCTGCTCACAAGTAGCACTAGCCATTACTGACAATTAATCCCCGTGAGCTAAGTCTGCTGTGAACCTTCCTCTAGCGAGGTCAGAACACACCCTGCAAGGTGAGATAACAAGAGTTATGACCACGTGACAAGGGTTACCTCCACTGACACCGTTTAGATGGACGTAAGTGATCTGCGAGTTGATATAATAAATTTGATTGTTTTAAGATGTTCATTTAACTTTTCCCAGATAAAAATCCCAGCAAGCAAATTTCTTCCAACAAATTGTCAGGGTAAGTCCAATAAAAGAAAATATCCAGATAGGTAAATTTCAAGTCACTTGTCTGAGACAAGTAAATGTTCCAGTAGGTTGATAAGGTAAAGTATATTTTCAACTCTCGGAGCAGAAAAATGGCTTTCACCATTAAATAATCTATGCATAATCATGGTATTAACCATCACGTTTAGAACCATCCTAAATTCTACAGCGGATGCACTCTGTGTATGGCCACCACTTCAACCAATCACCTCGACTCAGCTAGGTGGACAGCCCACCTATTATTACTCCCTACTACTTTACTTCCCGTTTCTAATCTTTCCTTCTCTCTTTCCTCTCCTCTCTCATAGCAAAGTCATTTACCACTTTATTTCATCATCATAGGAGAGAAGTCGCCCGTTTCTGCACAGACTGTTCAGTACAAGCCTAGTGACAGCTAAAGAACATGTGTTCAAGTATTGTGGAATTGGTACTTTTTTATTTTTATCCTCTTCGCCACTGTTCGGCTCGTTAGCCGCTTGGGCGGATGGTCGCGTCTCTTGTTACTCACTGTTGGCAAGTACTGGGCATGTACTGTTTCCTGTATCCAAACCCACTCCAGTGTTGGCCAAGTCTGGTCTTGAAACAGCTAACACTCGGTGCCGTCAAAGCACTCTCTGGCAGGTTGTTCAAGAGTTCACAATTCTCACTCCGAAAAAGTTAGCCCTCACAGTTTTCTGGACTTTTAGCTTTTTCAACCTTGAGCTGTAGCCCCTTGTGGGGCGGCGTCCGCCAGCTCCAGGTATGGACACTCGACTGAGTAGTACTCTCGAGATATTTATACACCTCAATTAGGTCACCCCTTGCCTGCCTGTAGTATAAGCTAGGCAGTTGCAGGCGCTCAAATCTCTGGATAGCCGAGGTGCCAAAATGCAGGCACTAGTCCGGTGGCCCACCTTTAGACATTTCCAATTAACGGACAGTCCCTAGCATATCTCGGGGGCCAAACGGAGAAGCACCTTACTCTTGAAGATCGTTAACAGGGACTGTCTAAATATCTGAACGACCTTCTTAAAAGACCTAATAATTTAGTTGTTTGATTCACCTTCTCACAATGGCCCGAGAACTTCAGTTAATTGT